TCTCAGAATTTAGTGTTTTTTTATCAGGACTGGAAGTCAGTTTTCAGGTTGAAAGGATGTCTTGTTTGGCATCGGAGGACTTTTTTTTATTTTCATGCAACAGTTTGGGGCCATCATGTAAGGTTTGTCGTGGAAATCTTTATTTTACCTAAACATAAACACAAGATCCAAGAACAAAAAGTACTCCGTGAATGGTCAACAGGATTCATTGCAATGTGCAAGACACACATCATGTCACACAGGGCAGTGGTACAAAGTGTGTGTGGTACAAAGTGTGTGCCCTGAGGCAGTTTTAAATACACACATTTATACAGAATGTTATCCAAACAGACAATCTTGGTGCTGATGCTGGGCCAAGGAGAAAATGATGTCGACAAACAGCAACAAAAATGTTTACTTCTAACAGATTTTGTCCTGATCTTAAAACACTTTGTCCGAGAGAAAACAGAAGATAAAGAGTAAAATCGTAAAATATAATGACATTTTAAAGTAAGCATAAGAGGTCACTGACTCTTGAACTGAGAAGAAATGTAGGACTTTAAAGAATAATTAATTTTCCCAGGACAATGTTTTATTTTATTTTATTTTTTTGTCTTTAAGAAAGCAGCTGATGAACCTCAGGACAGATTTTAATAAAGCTCAAAACTAGATACCATACATTGATAGCATACGTATATGACCCCCACTTCACGTGTTGGGGTCATAATAATTACAGCTAACTGAAGGTAAACCCAATTAAAAATGGCTGCCACACCCAAACAATTTTCTATGTTTATACTAAAGCATGGAATGACATTCCTCAAAACATAAAGTCCATTTCAAAGCTACAGCCCTTTAAGAAGAATCTTGTCTGCCATCTGCTGGACACTTTTTGTTGTGCTCATATTTAGACGTCCTATTTTGCAAATGCTGCCTTCCTGAAATTTGGTATGCTTGTTTGTCTTTGTGTCTATGGTGTATAATGATATGATTGTGATGCTGTAATTCTGAGTGTTTTATGTGCTGCAGAACAGAAACCTGCTGTAAAACAGCAATTATGCTGAGTCAGGCTTGATTTTTAGTAATCTTTTCTTGTTAAATCAATAAATCAAATCAAATCAATCAGCCTTACCTGTAACTGACACTAGATGTGGCTCCACTCCGTTGGTGAGCAGGCGGCAATTCACCAAAATTAGGTCCGATCCTATTTCAGCCAGACAATGGAGCTGCTCCAGAGTCAATCTACAGAGATCACGTTGCACCAACAGGAAAAAGGAACAAACACAACATCCGTATTTTCAAAATAAGACACCATAAATTGGACTAATTTTGCGGAAATCCCAGCTATATTAATAAATATACGGATATATTTCTGCACAAATGCTGTCAGAATGTATTGTTCTGTTTGGGAAGCAGATGGAAACATGTAGATAAAGCATATGTGTACATATGAAACACGTGGATTTTATTTTGAAATCAGAAGTTTCAAAAGGACAACAGTGATACAATTTCAAACATATTTATCAAAAGTTTTTGTGTCAATGTTTTCAGCTGTTTGGAGTTCATCTTTCATAGAATTAATTATTTTTTGCTCTGACTTCCACATTTATCACTGGATTTATCGTCTGATCTCCTTCAGCTCCACTCCGGTGCTGACCGGAGTCACATGTAGTGTAAATSTGGGGTTAGCAAACTGWCATCGCTTCATATTTGTAGTCTAGGTTTGATGGTAGCTGAGAGTCGTACCACACCCAGCCTCTGAGGGCTAACTCACATTTATTTAAACCTTAGAGATTCCTTCAGATTAAATCATAATCTCACTTTATTCCCAGTTGTTTGGAGAATATTTCCCTAATAAACAGCTGGTTACAAACAAACAGCCATATTTGCCACCRTACTTTGTTGTGTTTAATACTTTGTACCACATGAGTCCAATTATGCAGCTGAGATTCTCCAAGCTGCTGCTTCCAGCTTCGTTTTGTTTCCTCGTCTGCAGACTGCTCCACAACTTTATGATCCTAATTACATGTTTTATTATTTCTCTTTTGACATCTCAGTAAYGCCGCAGGATTCATTTAGAAGCTGTAAATTTTAATTAGTCCTCAGCTGACCCTAAAGGAAGCCCACAGGTCAGCGAGCTCACACGCCTTCTGATATTTGTTAAGTCAGCAAAAATGGTTTAATAACTGAAAAAAAGCAGTGATAGACAGCGATTCCTTCATTCTTCAGCTGCTTTTTTTATTCCAAGTTAAACATTTATGAGAACTAATGCAGCAGTTGTAAAGTGTGCTGTGATTTCAGACAAGAATATTATAGAAAACTGGAGCTTTTTCATCAAGTCTCTGCTGCTCCAAAATGGCACAAAGGTTCTGATTCTCAGAGTGGCTGAGAATCCAACTTTTCAAATTGCTCTCTTTTCCCTGCCGCAGCATGAATGCATGGTAATTTCTCTGCACTCCTTCGCTCGGCGTGAGACTGGAAGTCAGCAGCAGCGTTYCTGTTTGCCTTTGTGCTGGGCTGTGTGTGGCAGCGGTGACACAACTTCATGTGTAACTGYTGGTTCCTCAGCTCCGCCTGTTAGGACGGGAGCTCGTCTGTAATTACAACCAACACTTGATGTAACACGAGCAGATGACTTCTGTTTTTATTTACAGAACAGTGGGACTGCACATTTGGACCGTTTGTTGCACTTTTTACAGCCTTAAATTTAGTTTAGTTTATTCATTTCTTTAAAAACAACAACACAAATTCAACAACAAACAAAAATACAAATCAAATTAAATGTAAGGTAGCAAAAGAAGAAAAAATCTTATTATGTCTGCCCCTTTTTCTCAAATAAAATAAAAATAATCTACAGTTTACAAAAAAGAAAAAGAAAAATAATAACAATTCATACATTTACATATTTCTCCAGAAAATTATTCTTTATCATTCTCCTAAATATACTCATTGATCTGGCATTTTTAATGTCATCTTCCAGATTATTCCATAATCTTATACCCTGGACTGAAGTACTCCTTGTTAATTAAAGGACCTGATTCCTCTGTTCCCTCAACCATCAATGGTCTTTAAACACACCTCACAGAGGAATCCTGTTTTCACAAGAAATGCAAAAGAAGACAGTTTTTTTTAACCAAACTAACTTTTATTTGTCTGTTAAGTTGGGTTCTGGTGAAGGGAATTCATGATCAATAAATGGAAGTCTGAAAAATCAGAAAACCAGTTGAGTCTCTTCTGAAAACTTTATTGCAGTCTCTCACTCCAGTCAGCCTGCAGAAGTCAGGCCTCAGAGTAAGAAGACCTCAGCACTGAATGAATGAATGAATGAATGAATGAATGAATGAATGAATGAATGAATGAATGAATGAATGAATGAATGAATGAAAGATACTTCATTGATCCCGTGAAGGGAAGTTACAGTTTGGAACAACCCCTTCAAGATCTATAAACAAAACATAACTTGGAGAACAGGTGCCCCGGGTCCAGCAGTCATGAAAAGGCACGACCCTTAAAAGAAAAAAGAAATACCAACATGAGGATAAGTGGGGGTAAAAAAAAAAAACTCTTTTTGTGTCCACTTAGGAAACAATATGAGGTACATAAAAACCCCATGCACAGAGCAAAAATCATAGCCAGTGAAGGCAGTGAGGGTTTTTTGTGTGTGTGTGTGTGTGTGTGTGTGTGTGTGTGTGTGTGTGTGT